TTACCAACCCCCCCCCCCCCCCCCCCCAATATGTAAAAAGTACATATGACTGGAACAGAATAAGGAAACATCACGAAGGAGAACTTACAGGAAAACAAGATTTTTCAACTTTCCCAGTGAAGGAGGGATTGTCCCTGAAATATTGTTGTTGTACAGATCCAGACTGATAAGGCTCTTCAAGTTGCCAAGCTCTTTAGGGATGGTTCCCTGAATATTATTTTTGTAAAGCTCCCTGAAGCAGCAAAACAATTACATCATATATATAAATTATAATTCCTTGAAAACCAATAGAATCATTGACTAGAAATGACAAGTCAATTCAAGATTTTAAAATAGTTACTTACAAATACTGTAGATGTTCCAGCTTTCCAAGTTCAGGTACCAAATGACCAGATAACTTTGAGTTGCCAAGGTCCCTGCAGAAACGTTACCACCCTGAGATACTTCAGACTTGTAATGAGTACGGGGCAAAAATAAAGCAAACCAAAGCAGTGCTCCTCTTCTGAATTTCTCCACTCTTTTTCAGGCAAACATTTAAGAGAAAAAGGGTGTGAGGAATAAAAGGAAGTTTCTCCTTTAACCTGGCGGAGAATAACTAGGAGACGTGTAATTTTAACCTTAAGGAAGGACCAGTTGATTGCACACAAGTCATACCAATTAGAAAGGACTTTTTTCTTTGACGCTACTGTTACTCGGTATAAATATAACTACTTCAGGTTTGCAAATTGACATGAATCTTTGTAGACAAGGAACGTCAGGCTGAGCATCTCAAGTTTTCCAATGTATGAGTCTGAAACTTATTTTCTCTCTCGACCAAGTCATCATGTTTAAGAAGATATAAGAAAGTTCTCTTGCATCTCAAAAAACTAGGTTTCTGTCTTATTCGTATTTAGAAATCTTCGGTTATCGGTAAGGAGTCCAATCAACATACAACTCCAACCAGTAACATCTAGGTGTTCCATAATCACCTAATAAAGCGGAAATGCAACTCTAAGTCATACAATCTATCATAAACATTTTTTTTAAAGTATAAAATATCAAAAACATCCAAAGTTTTGCCAATAAAATTATCATTTGACAAAAAAAAATGTCAGAAAATGGCCATGCTTGCATCGAGATTTCTCAAAACTTCAGTAAGGCGCCCTTATTGAACCACTGCCTCCAATCAACTACCTTTAAAGTACAAGGATTTTACACACTTTTTTTTTTTATGAAGTAAAAGTAAGTGGTGTATTAATAGCAAACGCATCCAGAAGATACATGGATAACAAAATAAAGAAGAAGGATTTTACACACTTCAAAACAAACAAATCACTTGAACTCTACAAAAGGTGCACATCCACGAGAAATCAGAAACACAAGAAAGACAAAGATCATTAAAAAATCACACGTCTCCATCCTTCACACATAGATCATAGACATGTCAAGATAAAAACCTCGACTAAGTGGAACTCAAGTAAATACCGACACCCTATTCACCTTTTAGAAAAAGGAATCACTTTGCTGCCAATTTTAAAACAAAGACTTGTTAGCTAGCAAGTCAAGTTAGCTAGCAAGTCAAGTGAAAGCTTAAGCTTTTAACAAATAAATCAAATTCAAACTTAGCAACTAACCAACAACAACCACCATCTCAATCTCAAAACTAATTGAGATGGCTTATGAACCCTCTATATAAATTCCACTCCAATTGGACCTATTTCACTCGAATACTCAATAATTTGTCTAATAAAAAAATAAATGATTATCGTATTCTAAATCTCAGGCTTATCACTAAACTAAACTGTCATACAAATCTCTAACCAGAGTAAAATAATAACTACCAAATCCAGCCTCTATGAGCAAATTAAACCAAATTTAGACTATGTATACATATATGCCAAAAATCTTTTTTCAAATTTGTCTGTCTTTCTCAAAATAAAAAATAAAAAATTGTGTGTTCTAATACACACACACAAAAAAAAATATGTACTGTAAATTATGTATTAGGCTGCATCCTCTCTGAACTCAGTGACGCTTAGATCAGTCCCTCGGCAAACACAAACATACAAATCGACTAATTAAATAATAGCACACACAAAGGAAGTAAAAAAAAAAAAAAAAAAGAGGAAATTTTGAGACATACACACGAGTGACGTGGTTATCGCCGTTGCAAGTAACATGAAACCAAGTACAAGGGTTGACAAGATTCGGATCCCAGCTCTGGAGCACGTTATCCGGGTCGGATAAGCTCCGGCGGAGAGCGTACAAAGCATCCCCTTCTGAATTCCCCCTAACACTAACAGCTAGAGCGAGTACAATTACCAAAAAGCCCAAACTCTGGGTTTCAATAACAGCTGCCATGGTTCTTTCTACCCAAAAGCAGAAATATTTGTGGGGTTTGGTTAGATTTTGAGGTGAGATTTTATGTAAGGAGTAGACCCAGATGAAGAAGAAGAAGAAGAAAAAGGGAAAGTAAGACCGGAAGAAATGAGGAGGGAGGGGAGTAAAGGATCGGTTTTGGGAATGACAGCGAAAGGGGAAAGGCTGGGTGCGTGGGTGTGGTGGGGTGGGGTGGGGTGGGTGCGGTAAGGAATCTTTTCTTCTCTCCACTTAGCTTTCTTTGCGTTGATAAATTGCAAAATAGTCGATTTGTTGCAATTTATAACTTTCTATGCGATTTATAAGAGTCCGTTTGGATTAGCTGATTTGAAGTAGTTGATAAGCATTGGGTGCTGAAAATTACTTTTAAGTGCTGAAATTGATTTAATAAATAAGCAGTTACGTATTTAAATACAAGTATTGAAATTGATAATAAGCTGTTGTAGTATTTGAGAAAAAAGTGCGAATAAACACTTTTTCTGTTAAAATGACTTAAATAACCTTAGAACTGTTTACACTTATAGGGGCATAATTTCTTCAAAATTTTAGATTCCAGATCGATTCAAATACAAAATATTCTATTTGTCATTTTATTATAAATACAACTGTGCTTAGATAAGAAAACTTTTATGATAAATAAAATTTATTTTATGATAAGCATAATCATAAGTTATACTCCCTCCGTTCCAGTTTATGTGAACCTATTTCCTTTTTGGTCCGTTCCAATTTATGTGAACCTATTTCCTTTTTGGTCCGTTCCAAAAAGAATGACCCCTTTCTAAATTTGGAAACAATTTAGCTTAAATTTACAACTCTATTCTTAATGAGAAGCTTTTATAACCACACACATACTCTGAGCTCCTTTTTGACTTGTTTAGGATCACAAATTCCAAAAGTCTTTATTTTTTCTTAAACTCCGTGCCCAGTCAAGGAGGTTCACATAAATTGAAACGGAGGGAGCAATAATTAATAAATTGACAAAAGTTTCTAAGAAAAAAATGAACCTAAATAAATTTTTGAAGAGAAACAAACACTGTCTTCATCACCACAACACTTAGAAAGCAATGCACCAAAAATTTGATATGTCCTCATTTATTACATACAGTTCAAAGATTAATACACAATCACATAGATACAAATACGCAAAGGGATAGAGAATTTGCTTATCATAAATAGTCAATGAGAATTGCAGACTTGAAGAGGCGGCGGGGGAGGGGGGTAGGGGGTTGAAACAATACTTGACGCAGTGAGTGTCGATGTAAGAGTTTTGTTCTAAAAAAGAATATTTTAAGGATAAAATAGTAAAAATCTTGGTCAAACTTAAAGTGCTTATAAGCTAAAAATTCATAAGCTGGGGGTGACCAGCTTATGGCTTTTAGCTTGTTTTTGACTTATAAGGACTTGGCTTATAAACACTTTTAACTTTACCAAACGCGTAGATCCCTCTAAATTCAATTTGTTAGTTATGGCAGAAATACAATTATGTCTCTGCTTTTCTGTTTGCAATTTTTATTTTGGGACCTTTTCTGTTGTATTTCAAAAATGCAATTTAAAATATATTTTGAAATTCCATTTCATCTAACGTCGAGATGCATATAGATCCCATTTCACATATATATATTTTGCATATTTCTGAAATTCTCATAAAAATTATGACAGCTAAAACTATACATTTGGAAAAGGGAAAAAAAAACTCTAACTTATATTCCCCCACCCCACCCCACCCCCCAACCAAAAAATTTCTCCATTTTTATTGTTCGAGTGTGAGAACTCTGGGTAGGAATAAACGGATCCTATTCATCCCCATCCTTTTTTATGGTGTTTTGAAATGTTATTTTAATAACAGGTGAATGGCGTTCTTTAAATTAAAATCTCGAGTTACTTTTTGAGCATAAGCAATTTTGGAAATGAAATACTTTATCACCTTAATGTTTTCTCGACGCGAATTTTTATTAACTGAACAAGTGAATTTCGAGTGCGAAATACTTAAATGCAAGAAATAAAAATAATCAAGACTCAATTTGGAGCGAGTCGACTATAAATATGTTTTCAATATTTATTTGGTTACGTCTGAACTCTTTTCATTCTAATAACAGTAAAACTATATTACTTTGACAGTCTAAAAGAAGATTACAAGGATTCAAACATAACTCAGAAATTGAATTTCTCAAATTTTTTAAATAAGTTTACATAAGTCGGGAATTTATAGGACAGAAAGAGTAGTTAATAATTTTTTTTAGCTGTTCCATAATGTTAAATAGAAATCTATGTTTTATTCGTATTTGCTATTATTCTAAAATTTACATTTGTCTAGTTATATTATTCAAATCTCTAGTTTAATCACAAAGTTAATTTAAACTAGCTGACATTTATTAAAAAAAAAAAAAAAAAACTAGAGTATGATTTATACACAATAAGTTTCTAATTTAATCAGATAAAATTATGGATTTAAGAGGAAAGGATCATTAGAATGTCAGTAGAAGAAATGAGTAAGATTATAATTGGTGATAGTAAAAACAAAGTTTGCTAATGTGCTACCAAGAAGGACCAATGTCCAATCATTAGCTTTTCTTATGTCAATTATCTCTAAAGAGACAAAGAATTATGGCCATCTGTCTGTTCCCCCTTTTTATTAAAAAATAATTTAGAGTATATTTTAAGAAATTATTTGAAGATAAATTTTGCAGTATATCATAAACTGCACAAATAATTTGTTATTGTAACCTGTACACGTTCTCTTATTAGACATCTTTGAAGTTAAAAGTTAAAACACAAGTAAAATTTTAAAAAGCTTGTTTGAAGAGTATTTCAAGAAATATAATGAATTTTGCTCTTAGATTTTTAACCCTTTTTCTCTCAATGAAATACATATGCAAGTACAATTCAATTTACAAATACTAATTTTCAACTTTAATTGATACTTATTTCCAAACTTCAACCAAATATTGTTCTAACCTTTTAAGATGCTTGCCCAAAGAAAATGTATAGCACTTTTTATTTGTCTAAGTCTTGATAGACAGATTTATCTGATACCTATATTGATGACTGACGAGAAATAATAAATATTCCGTAAAATTAACCAAGACGTGCACAAGCTGATCTAAACACTACGATTATAATATAAAAATAAAAGAAAATTTTACCTCTTATAGCAAAGGTTGATACCTTAATTATTATAAATAAATACCCTTTTAGAAAATTATCTCATATAGCTAACTTTTCATTTTTATAGCAAAATATCTATTTATGGTTACTTCCTACCTTTAAGCCTCTCTTCCCTCTCTCCTCCTTTTGTTTTTCCTCTTTCTTCTCTTTTTCCCCCAGTTTTTTCTTCCCTTGCTTTCAGAAACCCTAGCAGGGCTTGTGTTTCCACCAACGACAGATCCGGCCACCGAATACATTCTCTGTTTAGCTGGACTCCCCTATTTTCCGCCGAGTTTTGCTACGATATTCATGAATACAGTAGCAAAAGTACATCGAATACAGTCTATAACAACTGAAAACATAACTATAGGAAGTAATTTAGTAAATGGTAACTATAGCAAGCTAATAATCACTAAAATATAGTGGTTTCTTTAAAATTTCTTAAAATAAAAAGGTATAGTACCCTAAGCACTATGTTATACTACTATTTATGATTTGAAAGCATATTAGTTAGTGTTTTGGCTTTTTCCTTTGATTAGTGGGTTAGGAAGACCGAATCGTGTTTGGCTCTTTTCCAAGTCTACTTTGGTATTAATATACTTTGTGGTTCTTTCTAAAATCATGATCCTTTTTCTTTAACGTGTTTTCTACTGTCATCAAATTAAACTCGTCTATCTGTCAACCTACGTACTACACTAGTCGTATTTATTTTCTTGGTCCAAGTTGGAGGCCAATAAAGGGTCAACAAAGCATCTACCAAATTTCCATCATGAAGAGTGAAGACAAAAGATTTTAAATTTTGTTTATTTGTAGGTTCCTTATAATGTTTTTTTCTTTCTTTCTAATAACTAATTGGTATTCGGAATTAGTGATAAATCTAGGATTTGAACAAAAAGGTATAAAACCCTCTTGTCGAACTAATTGTAGAATTAAAAAAGGTAAATCTTAGCTAAACATAATTAATCTCAGATCTAGATATGCAGGGTAGAGAAAAAATGAAGAGGAAGAATAATCGCGGATAATATTTCTTCATACAATAATTNGTGATACCCTGATTAGACTGTACTTTAGGCCATCTATTAAGTAGACATTCTCAATAGAGTGAGAATCAGTCTTACCTACCTTTCCAACCCCAATGATCTCACCTTTCTTCCCATTTCCAAAGGAGACATTACCTCATTTGAGGTCCTCAAGTGAAAGGAACTGGTTCTTGCTTCCTGTCATATGCTTTGAGCAGCCACTATCCATGTACCATATTTGGCTGCTCCCTTTCACTTGGACCCACAAAAGGAAATCAGGGGTTAGTCTTAGGAACCCAAACAAGTTTGGGTCCCTTTCTATAGGCAAAAGGGTGAATCAAATTCTTTTTAGCCCAACCTGGCAGCCTATTTTCCCCTTGAACAAATTCTTTATTCTTTTGACTAGCCTTTCTTTTGCAATACATTCACTTTTATAGTGACCAGTTTTACCACAATGTGTACAAATTTTGTTCTCAGGAAGTGTGAGGTACTTGCTTTTGGGATCCCACTTAGGTGCAGAGGTCTCGTAGCCAAGTCCTCTCTTATTGCTACTCTGGTGTTCATGTAGCCATGAAAGTGCATCGGAGGACCTATTCCATTTACAGGTTCTATCTAGCTCGTGCTTAACCTTGTTTAGATCCTCCTTAAGGACTCTTATCTGCTCATCTCTTTTGTACAACTCATCTTTCATTTTCCCTACATTTTCTTCTAAAGTGAGTTGTGTGTGATCAGATTCCTTTTTACCAGTTCCTAATTTCAATTTTAGATTTTCAGATTTGAGCTCTAGGACTGTGGTGTCAAGTTCATGAGCCTGGTTCTTCAACTCAGCATTTTTACTATCACTTTCACTAGCCCCAATTTCCAGGTTTTTGCACTTAGCTTTCAGAATCACACACTCCTTAGAAAGTTGTTCCTTTTCATTGTTTATAACCTCAAATTCATCAATGAAATCTAGAAGTAACTCAGCGAGACTTTCTTTAGACAAAAACTTAATCTTGTTTTTGAGATGAATTATACTTACCTCAGATTCCTCATCCGATTTCCCAATTGCCATAAGTGCTTATTCATCTCCATCTTCATCTTCTGAGTCATCATCTG